CTTCTTCAGTCGGGCCGCCCTTGTTTAATAAGTTAAAACAGAAGTTCTGTCTTCTTTTAAATTCATTTGAATAAGTTGAATTAGTAACTGTTCTTGGGATTAAATTCGAAACAAAGGTATTAGTCGCAGATTACTGATTAATCTGTTTTTCACTGTGGTTTACAATTGCATGCTTCGACGGTTTTAATATTTGTACTGCACACGTACTATTCACGCTTGTATATGTTGACATGGGTGCTAAACCCGTTGGGGAAAGATGTAATTCGTCAACAGTAATCTGATTCTGATTGTTTACGATTAAATCTCTTGTGCTGGTCGATTTATCATAACAAAGAGTTTTCGGCCGTGGGAGATCTTTTTCCAGCAAATTAGAATATTCAAATAATGGGGCAGATTGAGACACATGTTGGTTATGTGGAAAATATAGTTCTTTCATATTATCAAGTTTATTACTAACTTCTTCGAAGTTGCCACTTACTTTATTAAGGCGGTCTTCGAGATTTCTAATAGTATGTCTGTTGGTTTCAATCTCTCTTTCACAAATCACGGTATCGAGTTTTATGCCTTCCATATCAGCAGACAGCCCAGATAATGTCAGGGAGGAATTTCCGCTTCCCTCGTCTGTAGCAACGGATTCCTTTGCCAGGATATGAGAATGTACATTGCATAACACTGAACATAACTTAGATTTAATCAGGTCCTTCTCTTTACCCTCTATTTGCAAGACTTTCTTGTTTTTCCGCCACGATATTGAAGTGTGGCCGTCACTGTATGTTTTCTTGTCTCCGCCTGGTGAATTCCATACAGCATTTAACTCAATATTTTCGTTTATAAACTGCTTCAGTTGTTTAAAATCTCCCATCCAGCACAGCTGAAGGTCTCCCATTTGTTTGATAATAATTACAACAAGATAACGTGGGATTATATTACAAAATATTTGAATTGAGGAGCAACCAAATACACGTCCGCTATCACTCAAAGACAATGATTCTCATAGCCGTATCACACTTTCTTTCGTATACGACTTTCAACGAGGTCTGAAAGGATGCCAAAATGCTTTTTATCCATGCGAAAATAATTAAAGTATGATGTCTCGTCTTCGAGTTCAAGTTCAGGAACCAACTACACAAAGAAAACCACAACTTACTCAGTGAAATGTACATGACTTCGTTACAGTCTTTACGTAAAACGTAACGAAACTTTTTGAACGAATTTATATACGCTACAAAATAAAAATAAAATGCTAGTATATTTTTATAAAATATTAAAAATACCTGATGAAAACATCCCCTCTGCTGTCTTCGCGCAATCCAAGGCCTTACCCAGACTTTCCTCGAACGCTTCTTTTTCTGGATTTCATCTAACTCTAAAAACTCTTGCAATAAAACGAAAGCAGCCACTGCTTTTCTTCATGGTCGCCATGTTTACATTAGCGCTGTCGCAAGATGACGTAAGATTGCTACTCCAATACTCGCGCGAGTTGCAAACAACAAACGTGACGCGTGTGACATGTTTGCGTGCAACTCGTGAGAAACTTTTTGCTACACAAGTTGCAGACAAAAAAGCTACGTGTAACAGAAGCTTAAGGCCGCAGGTTCGAATCTCAGTGAGAACTTCTCAATGTGACTCGAACCCAGTCCTCATGTGAAAAGAGTAAAAGTCAACGCTCTGCCGAAAGTCATGGGTTTTCTCCGGGTACTCCGTGTTTCCTCCCACAGGGAAAGTTGACAGGGTGGGTTAGGCACCGATAGGTCTGGAGGCAGATCATTAATGAGGTACGAACTATAGCGGCTGCTCAAGCGCCATTTGTAAGCTCAAGATCTACCTCGATCTGCTTCACGTCAGTCTGGTTCTATCTATCTATTCATAATGTAACCAGTCACTGAAAAGCCCTATAGGAAGTGTGCTGTGAAATATCTGTATTTTGCTACTATATTAAAGCCTATGACAAGCCATTCCAAATAATTTAGATAAGATTCAAATATTAGTCTGCATGAAACATTAAAAGCACAATTTGGTGAAATTATATTTGCATATTAAAAATATAAACATTTACAATGTAAATAGAAGTAATATAGCGTTTTCATTGTTCGCCTGTTCTTTGACTTTTGAGTGATATAAATAACACAATGTCTGCATGTAGAATCTCATTACCACAAAAACCTACATACCAAGTCCAATTCAGAAAACGATATATTGAGAGTATCCACATCGCTGCCGTCAGCAAGTCTAGAATTAACCCAGCTTACGTGAGAAATAAATTTGAACTCATGATGGACGAAATTTCAAAGGGATTTTTTTGGATTCCCGAGTTTCGACACATATTCTGCATTCTCGTCTAAATATGACGCCAGCCGTATATCGATTTCTCTCTTTATTTGCCGTATTTCTATTTGATATTTTGTCAGCAAGTCCATGCAGAATTAACCCAGCTTACGTGAGAAATGAATTTGGACTAATGATGGACGAAATTTCAAAGGGATTTTTTTGGATTCCCGATTTTCGACGCATCTTTCCGATTTTCGACACGTTATATGGCAGGCCCTTCGTCTTTCGCTTTACGTTTCTAAAAGTGGCCCGCAAATTTGCACCGTAATAAAGCAGGGCGAGAGTTGCAAAACCTGTTCAAATTTCCTCCGGGTAAAATTTAAAGTTTTCAAACCTTCCTCAAAATAAATCGAATAAATACTAAAATATGGCTTCATCAAATAGCAATGTAATAGAGTATATAAACTTAACTGATTCTGAAAGCATAAAGTTTGAAAGAGACGTGTCGTTAAATGCAGTACATATGATTCTAATATAGAATTTGCCGTAATAGATTTATACTTCGGACAAATTGGACAGTCCTTACCTACTACATCTACATCCTATATGATATATTGAATATAAAAGAATATAAAAAAATACTAAAGGAATACCGAATGGTTTTCCGTGCAGGATTGCGTGATCCATGCACGCGGGATGTTGCGAGACTTTCGGAAAGCGTGAAAACATACGAGCGGTAGGCGAGTGTATTTTTACGCTTTCCGAAAGTCGAGCAACATCCCAAGTGCATGGATCATGCTATCCTGCACGGAAATAATAACAAAAAAAATAACCATTTGGTAATTTTTTTATAAAATTACTACAGTGAAACGACGCTTGACGTGATTAAAATTACTGTTGAAATGTGCATGCAGTTCTCACAACATTCGTGAATTAACCAATCAGAGAATCGCTACTCCTAACTCCACGCTATTGAAAACAACAACATAGGTGAACAGAATTTGATCGCAAATTCGCGAAAATATACAGCGAAAATACAGGGACTTTTTCGATAAAATATACGAAATTTGAAATGGAAAACCCGTTAAACAGAGAGCCAAAGTAGTTTTCAAGATTCTCGACCTGAATATGTGAAGATTGCGAACGTTTGATTAGCTTTGAAGCGAGAGATGTTGTACTTGCATGTCATGGTCTGATGAATTTCAACGCTATTCGTTGAATAGCAATGTATTGATCATAAATTTATTCATACAACTAAACCAACGTCTCAATAATTGGAAACTTACTTCAAAGTCGAAAGGTATTGCACAATGAAACTTTATACAGCGAGTATATTTGTAAAATTTATATGTCCAAGAATTTCTGTTCAGAATTTCCCGTGCAGGATTGTCTGATCCTGCACGGCTGTTGACCAATCAAATTGCGTGTTTCACTGTAGTTATTATATAAAGTCATATGCTCAAGAGTCAAGATAACCTTGAAAATGTGATGGTTTCTGAATCTGTAATAAAAAGCACAACTGTGCACGCGTAGAAATTGAGAAAATCAACAAGTTGTTCCCTAGTGATATTGACAGGAATGAACAAGGTTGTGCTGCCCACTATGAACAAGTTGTTAACAAAACTTGCAACAACATTGTTGACAGCTTGTTCATAGTCGGCAACACAATCTTCCTGTCAATATCAATTGAAGTTGTTGATTTTATGCCTGTACATGTACATGCACATATTATATAGAGAGCAGCAGTAAAACCATGGCAACAACATTCCAGAGGTGGTATTTGATGTTTCTGTACTTGTGGTTTTGAAAAGCATGTGAGAGTGTTTATGTCTTTAAACATGTGACCCAATAGCCCAATTTCACAGTAAGCGAGACAGGGAATGCTCTCACTTGTTTCCAAAGCAAAGTGCTAAATTTAAACAATGCTGTATAGTGCCCTGCATGGCGGTTTATAATCAATGGCAATGTTTGGAATGGTTGAAAATCAATGGTAATGGCAATATAATCCCCATAAATGCTAAAATTTCTTCCTCAGCTTTATTTATAATTTTTGTGGCAGTTTACAACATTTCATCTTGGCCATATTTATATAATTATTACAATGTTTAGTTGCTACAGCAATGATGGTTCATTTAATTTATAACTATTAATTATTCTCTAAAAACATTGCAATCATGTAATCAAATAATCTTTGAATAATGTTCAAGGTGAATTTATTATTGTAACCATGATGAATAGCTCTTAGTCAGTGGCGTAGCCAGCCCGATAATTTGGTCATGCTATGCAAATTTCAAATCATTATCATTATTAATTTCTTTAGAAATTGACTGTTTTCACAGTCTATGAATACGAAAATATTTGCATAGCATGACCAAATTGTCAGGCTGGCTACGCCACTGCTCTTAGTAATAGCCTCCTCTTATTTGCGGTGCAATGGTTTAAGGCGCCTCTGATGCTTGACACTTATACATTTTAATTTTACAGAATATTTTCAGTTATTGTGTTCTCAGTATTCTCCAATGCCATATGTCATATGTTATAGGTACTTTATCACACTATAGTACCACCAAAAATTTTCAGCCTCAACTGCCTATTCAACTATGATTTATTTGTTTTACTTGTTCGGTGTTAGTGACTGTTGACCACTATAAAACTTCCTCACTGACCTCGCCCATGGTAAACCTTCCTCGCGGGTAATGTCCGCAGCTTTTTTGCAACTCTGAGCAGGACCTGACCTGATGAGACAGGATGTATCATCATTATGGACTATGGACTCCAGACAGGCTCAAGCATGAGCATATACTGTACACGAGGGGGTAAGCCCCCTAGAATTTCTCTAAATCCTCCCCCCCGATACTTCCGATACTACACAAAAAAGTACTTATTTCCGTCTAAGTTAACAATGAAAGTATACTTTTTACAGATCTCGATCTGGGATATTACTTTTAAAACCTTAGAGATATGATTATGATGGCAGATGTCTGACAGTGTGCATTGTGGAGTATTTTGTAATGTAATAATATTCATACAATATTTAACAAATATAAAACATTTTCCGTGTTGATATACAGTTATATCAACACGAGTGAAGATTGGGAAAACGATAAACTGTGTGAGTTATATCAACACGGCTCTTAGCTAATCAGCGTTCAGAATTTACAAATGCAATATTATAAATAAATAATTTATTTTGTATCATAATTAAATTTGTATCACAATCTGTGCTTAAATAAATATTCATTTTTATCTTGTAATATAGTATATTCAAAGGTGGAGCTCATGCTGTTTTGGTAACTATGTAATTATAAGGTGCATGGGTAGTGAAAAGGATCGGCCACTAAGTTCAGGGTCCTAACTACAAGTGTATCAATAACTAGGGAGGTGGGTGAGAATGGGTCATGCAGGTCGTGATGCTGTTAGGGCCAATTGTTTTGATCTATATAGGCAAAGTATTGATAAATTGTAGTTGCCCAAATATACTTCGGTTAATGAAGAAAATTTCAAGGAAATTACATCTCATTTCAAGGAAATTCTAAGGTAACGTAAAACAAAAAAAAATAAAAATGGTCCGTTGTGGAAACACTGATTTGTGTAATGTTTGGCGGCATTTGACCTCCG